GTTCAGGGAGGGCAAAGGGAAGGATAAACAAGTGAAATGAGAATTTTAGGGCAGTAAAATTGATCTGTATGATATTGTAATTTTGGATATAAGATATTATGCATTTGTCGAACCCCATTGAACTATACAGCACAAAACGTGGGCCTTAATGTATGCCAATTTTAAAAAAGCATTTAGGAGGTTGGGGAGTCCCAGGGAGAAATGCAGGCAGTGATGAGATGATCTAACTGTATTACAAATACATGAAACGACCTCACTGAAGGGAATTGGGGGAAAGGTGCTGCCCAAGTATCTGTGGAGATGGGAGGAGTCTGTAAGCTTAAGGCACTAGGAACTGCACCTAAGCACTGTGCTCTAGTTGATAACATTATTTCCCTTGGGAGAACAGGTTAACTATTCTGATACTTCTCTATATGTATACTGGGATGCAACAATTATGTAAATCATGGCCGATAGTGGGAGTGGGAGTTTACAGAGAATCAAGGGAAGGTAAGAAAAAAGCAGGAAATGCACACAGTAATATGTGTGAACAGCTCTGTACACTAATTATTATTTACACAGTTATTTATACCCTGAAGGTTTTACTTATTACACATAAAGTACTATTTTCACATTATTTTGTACATCATTTGGACTATACACTTCAGAGGGGAGGGACTAATCCATAAAGCTCAGAACATTTTCAGATACAGCTTTTAACAAATATGTCTGTCTTCTGAAGGGATCTTTTTTTGATTTGTCTAAACAAGTTCTATTCTGTGGCCTGTCGAGCTGTGTATATCAGAGCAGCTTATTAAAAGCACATAAAGCAAAGGAAGCACATTGTTTTAACATCTAAAAACACAGTATTAATTGCTCCTAGGTGATGCCAAAAAGTGCAGAGAGACAGTAGATAGAAAATGAAAAGTTCTTATTTTGTTTGGGATACAACTAAATCCCCGAATGTTCCCAAACACTCATATTTTTAGCATAACATAGACTGAGCATCTGGATATTTGAATTGTTCCTGTTTCCAACTGATAGTGGTGATATGGTGTAGACATAGACAGAGCCTCAAAGTTAAATTATTTCCAAATGATTTTAACAACATTTAATTAAAAATAAAATTTCATTCAACACATCCTCTCCACATTTTATGTGTCCTACTTTTCATATCTGCAGGAAATAGGAGAGTGAGTGACAAAAAAGAGTCCTTCTACTTCCCTTCAAATGAATAGAAGCCCTGATGACTACATACACAGAATTGGGGTTTCGGACACACTGCGAACTTGCCTCACTACACTGGCAAATAATTTGCCACAGATTGAAACATGGCTCTATTTAAATCAAACTCCCTGCCTATTAATAGCTGTAAACCACTAGAACATATCACTATACTTATAAAGTATTATGTCTGTTCAAATCTTGTTAAAATGAGGCAAAGCACAAATACATACATACTAACATAACACTACAGAATCGCCTTTAAGAATTTAAATAGCAAAATCAACAGTCTAAATTTATTCGAACATAGAAATATGCACCAAGTGAATTTCTAAGAGTCCTTCATAGGCCAAGATTCCATAATTTTACTTGTTCAATTTATGTCCACACTTTCTTTCCTTCACGCCTTTGTACTGATAACAATTTCTTGGAGTCATTTATGTACACGATAATTTTTTGCTTACCTCTAGCATTCCCCCTGCTCTCCCTCCACCCCTACCCATACAAATACACACAGACACACGTACAAATGGTTGCAAATACAGTAATTTGGGATCTGTAGTGCAAAGGAAATGAGCATCATATACATACATAACTCCCTCCCTTTCTTTCTTCCTTCCTTCCTTCCCTACCTTCTTTTGTTTCTTATTTCACAACCCGTTCATCATCCTGTACAAAAAGACAAATTAAAAGATATCTTTGTTTTGCAAGTCTTTTCAGATTCAGTACGTGCATAGCTACAAAAAAAAAGCATGGTACTGTTGGGCAGCATCTGATAAGTCAGGCTATTCCTCCTGCCATGATGTGTGGGTGGGGAGAACGTGGGTGATGTGATCCAGGTGTATGGGCTGCCCTTCACCAGTCATGCAGATGTGTTTTACATGCACATGCCCAGATGGTGACCCCTCTGGCATCATTAATGGGTCCCAGCTGACAGGCTTCCTCCATTGCATGCATGCACCTCAATTTCACATATTTCATGTGTTTATTTATGAGGCACAACATTCCTACATTTCATATGTGGCAGTTACTATTAAAAATGAGAAGTTTTAACTGCTCTGGAAATTGATAAAGAATCTTTTAAATTGCTATGAAATGTGGCCCTCATTTCAAAATGACTGCTTGTACAATTATTGAATTCATAATGCAAATTTTTTACCTTTCCTCTTGCATGTTGAAAAAATATGGTGTTGGGTTTACTCTTTAAAGATAGTTAAGAAATTAAATATTTGCATACTAATACATTATAATGATTTTTTGCTTCCCTTTTATTTCTGATCTCCAAGGCCTATTTTTAAAAAGTAGTGTGTCTATACGTTTGAACATTGTTATTCACCGTTAATTAAATCCAGGCATCAAGTAAGAGAAATTTGACCTACTCTAGAAAAGGGTTGTATTTATAGATCCACGGGGAGAGAATGGTTTTATAAAAATATAGTCTAATCGTTGCTTCAAACTATCATAGATTGTAACTCCACCAAGTTGAGGAAATGGACTAGTCTTGTAAATTTAGGATTATAATCTAAATCATAAAATATAGGAGCATGGTAGTTTCACTGAATTAAAATGAACTGACTCTTAACTTTTTACTAAAAATAAAAACTTCAGCATTCTTAAAGGGAAATAAAAAGATGAATCAAACTCTTAAAACAAAGATGAGAAGTGCAAATGACAGGTGATCAGATTTTTTTATCATAATTCAATTGGCAGAGCTTTTATTTCTGTAGCAATACATGAATTATAATAATACATTTTCAAGTTGAGGTCATTTTAAAATTGATGAAATGTGGTATATTTTATTGGATTATTTTTTTCCTTCTTATTTTTCTGTCTAGAATGTATGTGCATCGAGTGTTGGACACCCTGAATTGGGCAACTACAACTCATGACAGGTGATCAGATTTTGAAAGATGGAGTTCATGTCCACTTCCTTCTTTAATAGCAGAAGTAATGAACTTAAAAAAGTCAAAGTCTATAATACATCATAAATAACTATTTCCATAATCAGCAAAAGGAAATCAATGACCAAAATAATGATGAGATTTTTTTTAAGGAGCTGCATACTTTTATCATCAATAGTAGAGGGTCAATGTAACGAATGTTGAGTGCTAAAGGGAGTAAATCTTGAGTCTTGTTTACCTAGCATATGGTTTTTGACCCTCATGAAAACTATTTTACTTCCTTAAGGAAAGCCTGTTTTTCCTATTTGGATATATATATTTACCTCAATTTCATCAAAAAAGTGGCAAACCAATTCATTAGCTTTGACCATACCCACAAAAGTAGGATGGAACAATTAAAGCAATTATCTGACTAATTCAGGCAAGAGTAAAGAATATTCATTCTTCCCTTGAAGGTACTGCCTGGAATTTAAAAACAAAAAAGTAGGTTATAGGATACATTTCCCTGAACTCTCTAGATAGTTACCACCATGTCGCTCCATGTATATTTTTGTTCGAATGCATATGCATAATAACAACTGTAGTGTTCTCTGAAAGCAGATTTAGAGCAACTCTAAGATTTCAGATCCAAGTCATTCATGGGGATGAAGCAATAAAAAGAGAATGAAAAAGACAAATAAATGACATCAGTGTTTTTTATACTCAAATGATAAATATGTGATGTGCATTGTCTAACAACTCCTTCCACATCCCTGACACACATTATTAACTGATCATGGTGCTCTTTACCACAGAATCAAGGACCCAGGTTTAGAATCCTCAACAGAGCCCTGGAAGGTGCCACTACCAATTAAGTCCACAGCTAAGACGAAACCTCTTTGCCATTCCCCTCTTACATTGGTGCTGAGCAAATAATAGGTGGTTAGTCTAAATGTGATAAAACATAAGAGACAACAATATTGCTGTTGTTTAAACTATCTGCTTGTCACAAGAGAGGTGAATAGCTGATATGAGGCCTGATCTAAAGAGTAGGGGTGTCACTATGGGAACTGTGTGAAGTCATTGATCCACAGTCCATCCGTGCCATTCTGCTCTCTGCCATGTGGGATTGAGGCTAGCCAACTTAAACAATGGTCTTAAGGCTACGTGGACTCGGGTCAGTGGTATAGGCCGCAAAAGGATTATACACAGAGGAACAGGAGCGTCTGATTGATTCATATCTTAGGGCTGCCTGCGAAAGGCACCAGAAACTAAAGAAGAAAGACAAGAAACAAAGGGTTGGTTGCAAATCCAATAGTCAGGGGAGAGGTAACCCCACAGTTGGGATTCAAGGGTTAACCCTGCAAAGTGTACTGGGTTAGCAGACAGAGGAGGTCCCGGAAGCTGCTCTGACACCACTTCCTCCTTTGAGATCACTGTGCTTTTGCACATGTCCCCACGATAGTAACAACAGCCGCTTAGTTCCATATAGTACAGTATTGTTTGCCGAACGCTTTCCCATCCGTGATTTCTTTTGATCCCCCCTCAGCTAGCACAGGCAAGCAGGGCAGGCATTGTTATCCCCAGTTTTACAATTAAAAGGAGGCTCATTTGTCCAAAATCACATAGGTGTTGAAGCCTAAAGTTGCTTTCATCTGAAATATCCCGAGGAAAAGAGGGGACAGAAGCTGCATATTTTGCATCATTTCCCATTGGAATTTTCAGAAACGTGTGCCAATCCTCCCCATAACTGTGCATGTACAGAGCAGCCCACAGTGGCATGGTGAGCCAGTTGCATGTTCCAGACAGGATGGCGAAGGTGGTTCCCCCAGAGGAGCTTCTGAATTATTTAATAACAGGCATGCCATTCTGGGTCTTCAATCATTAAGAGAGACTTTCTGTTCATTTCTCTGACAGCTGGTAACCCTGTTGCAGATGTGGGTTGTCCCTTTGTATTTCACGATAAAACTTTACTGGTGGCGATTTCTGTCTATGTGGGGACTGTTCTCACTTATCACCAGTTACATTCTCTTCAGAGCTACCCGAAAGCCCCTCTCAGGGAGAACCCCGCGGTACGTATCTCATGCGTTCCTTCCCCGCCACCCCCTTCACTGTAAACACTAAAAAGTATATTTAATTTTCTTTCTTTCCTGGGTTGGGGAGGAGGGTGTTACATTTCCTTTGTCTTCAGTAGCAAAACTGAAGATTTGGCGACAAGCCATGCTGCTGTTAGTTCACATTCATTATTTAATGGTGATTCAGACGTGCCTGTAAAATTTATTACTTTGGATGTTAGCTAATGAAAGGCCAGAAGAAAGAGAAGTGAAACTAACTGTGTTTAAGTTTTCTAGAGCACTATTTGCATGTTTATTTTTAACACAGTATTTTGCTTTAGTCTGCTATAAGTTGTCAAGCACATTTTACAATAGAGCAAGCGTTAGAAGTTTGTATTTCTAACAACTATGTATGAGGTTTATTTCTGATAAATCATAAGTGATGGAAAACTTATTACTCTCATAACAAATGAGGCTCTACTAGTCCAATGATCATTTTAATTATCATTTTCAACCTCTTGACATTTATATAACTCCATCTCATTCAGAATTCTTTCCAAAGTGCTTATAATATGCTTACAAGTTTGCTCTCACTCTCCTTGTTTGTTAAATAAGATCTGAACCCAAATCCAGACAAAACTGAAATGGGATCGAGAAAAAATGTGTACAGTGTTTAATAAGACAATGTCAAATTTTGATCTTTGTCAGAGAATAAATCATAAACTCCTGTGAAATATGACTGTTTGGCCATCAGATATTTGTTTCTAATCCTCTTAAAAAGTGAGAGAGACCAAGTCGACTTTTCTTTTTAGTATGGAGAAGGAAAAATATGTAGTGAGAGAAATCAAATAATTATAATGATAAAGAGTGAAATTCAAATAAATGAATTCAGGCTTATGAATATTTTAATTCTGCTTTGGGAAGACCTTTGGGGTGATATTAGGAGACCGTCTAAACTGGCCAGTTTGAGGTCTTAGATAGCCTTTGTAGGGACTGGTTTACTCATCGGTAAATGGACATCTAGCACTCTTCCTCCTCCTCACAAAATGCTGTAAGTTATTTAAAAGACTTGCGAAGCAATCTAAGTTTTGGATGAATTGAAATGTTCTTGTTTTCATCCCCTGGATAGAACCTATATTGTATTTCAATGAACACTGTTCACTTTCTTTTTTTTTTTTTTTTTTTTTTAAAGATTTTTATTGGGAAATTGGGGGGATGGGAACAGTGCTGGGGAATTGGGGAAAGGGGAACAGACAAGTTGCTGTCGTTTTTGTTCTTCAGTCTAGTTGTGGAGGACGTTGCTTCACTGGCCCAAGTTGGCACCATCATTGCGCTCTTCTCTGGCGAGGCAGATCAGTCGCCAGCCTCTGGACGGCCGCTCACTGCGGCTGCTGGCCGCTCACGCTGGCTGCTGGCCACACACGGTAGCCCATGGCAATCCACTGCCACAGGGACTGCAGCCCACGCCGTCGCCGGCGACTCATGGCAGCCCAGCTCCAGGTTGAGCTGTTGTTCAGCATCTTAGCTATGGAGGGCAGTGTCACTGGCCCTCATATGTGGGATCCGAACCGGGGCCCTCTGGCATCCCAAGCAAGTTCTTAACCATCGCGCCACTCGGCCGGCCCAACACTGTTCACTTTCTACTGCATAAACAATTACCCGAGCTAAAGGCAGTGTTTCTGTGCATGTCAGCTCATTCAATACAGAAGGAACTTCACTACAGGAAATACCCAAATACTGCCTCTTTAGACTTATGACTCATATATCTCAGATGGCCAGGGTCCCATGCCTTCTGCTTCTCATGCTCACAGGACATCCATTTCACTTTCTTCCAGCCAGCACAGCTCTAAGCCCTGGCATAGCCTAAGAGCCAAGACGCTCCACTAACATTTTAAGCAGACCCAGCTGCCATTTGAAGAGAAACAGTGAGAGAGGCTAAGCAGGGCCCCTTTTCTTCTAGAAAAGCAGTAAGGATGAAGAAACTCCTACTGATGAGAGGCAGTAGGCCCTAAGGATCTTTACGGATCTTCGTTTAATCAACATATGCTAAGTAAGACACATCTTAGCAATTTTCCATTTGGAAGCGGAGGATGTCATTACAAGCTGAGAAAACTGGTCAGGCAAATCCACATGGTGCAGAAGGCAAACCCAAGAGGAGAGGTATCCGGCACCAATGCAGTTTAAAACCCAGCTGTTCCTCCCCTAGCATACACCAAGCCCTGGCTGTGAGAGAGAGCAGCAGAGAAGTGGGTTTCCTCTCCACTACAGTCGGGTTGTCTGGCAAGCAACGTACAGGCTCAAAAATAGGCCACACACAGCCACAAAGAGCTGGGCCTGATCACATCAATTCCAACCTAAGGCCAAGCTTTCCTTCACGGACGCTGCTCTGAAGCAGTAACACAATTTCTTTTCTGGTTTATCTGCCTCCCCATGTAATCAGGTCAGCAAGGGAGTTCTGGACTCTAGTGCTCTGAAAACTTGTACCCTCCCCCGCCCTATAAGCGGGAAGATTTGGGCATTTGGAAAATCTAACACATCTCTAACAATAATATGGCATATTGAGCATTTCATGTGCCAAGTCTGTGAAACATTAATACATTATCTCACATAATCTTCAGAATTATTTTAGGAGCTGGTGTGATCAATCCTCACTTTATAAACGGGCAGGAAGAAATGTGGAGTAGGTTGGCCAGGGTCCACACAGCCCAGAATCAGGCCAAAGACGACTGGAGTGCAAAGCCCAGGCTCCCAACAGCATGCGATGGCTTAATTACATAAACAGACCCCTTTGCACAAAGGAACTTTGCATTTTAGAAAGGTGTTAGTCAGGAACACCTCTAAGGCTGCCATCATCTCAGAGGGGCCCCTCAGGCAGAGAGAGGGTACATGGAATACATGTGGAGTTCAAAGAACCCCACTCTGGTGCTGTCTGGTGTTTTGGGGTGAGGAGGGCGATCCTCTGAGAGTTGGCCACTTTTCCCATTATCACCCCTTTTAGCAACACAAACTTCCACCCCCATCTGGCCGCACTGAGAAAAGATCCAAACTGCTCAGCACTGGCAAATAAAAAGGACCATCCCAATGGCCCAAGGAGTCACTGGCAGAAAGACCCCACAAGCCCCCTCTGGCCCCCATTAGACACAGCCGCACTCACAGCCATTTGAGCCACCTGTGCAGCCCATGTGAGTTTCCCCATGACCGACCCCTTCCGTGGGCAGGATTACACCTTGGGAGGAGGTGGTGCCCAGATAGCCCTTGTATGTGAGTTGCTTGATGTGGGGAAAGCTTTTGACCAAAGAAAAGCTCATTTCTCAGGCTTGCCCATAAACCCCATTTAAACCATAATGTTTTTCAGAAAGTCCCTTCTGACTGGAAGTCAGTGAAGCAGGGTGTCTTTTAAAATAACATCAGAACATTACCTCCGTAACATCACGGTACTTAAGCATTTGGTGCAATGGTTCCAACAGGGAGGAAACTGGTTAAGGTGAGAGAGTTGGGGACAGGGCTTCGGGGGGGCTGGAGGGGAGAGGGTGGGGCCAAATCTCTGAAGTGAGACTCCGAATGAAGTTTGGTGTGGCCGGCAGGATAGGGGCTTCCTGAGGGTGGGGAAAGAAAGGGCTGAGGGGCACACAGCCATTGTTCAGCCTGAGATCAACATCCCGGCCTCCCCCTTATTGTCCCTGGGCACCAAGGCTAGCCCCCAGCTGCCCCTTCTCCTGCCTCTACCTCTTCCTGCTCCAGTGGGTGGGGCCCTCGTGCTGTGGCGCAGCAGGAAAGGAATCGCATCCCCCCAGGCACGGAACGACTACGTGGCCCTTTTCCGTAGTTTCTCCAAGGGTTTTTACTGCCAGGGATGAGGGGAATGAACAGGATACAGCGGTCCCTTCTAGATCGTCTGCACTCTCACTCTCCATCCCCATCCTCTCACTTGTCCACGGAGGCCCTGGGGGAAGAAAGAATGACCTAGGAGGGCTCATAGTGAGTGCTGGGACGCACAAGGGACCCAGGCACATCACAGAAAAAAACAAGGCCGAGGCGCTCTTGCCGGGGCGAGGGAAGGGGCTCTGTGATGGAGAGAAGATGGCACGAGGGCTGAAGCTACCTGCTCTGGGGCTGGGGACGGCAGGAGCGGGAGGGAAGAGAAACTCTGGGGGGAGGTGGTCCCCCCTCTTGACCTCTGAGGTTCTTCCACCCAAACCACTCTAAGCTAACCCTGAAGCCAAAACAGAACAGGGAGGAAGGGAGGCAGAGTCCCAGGTGGAGGAAGCAATGCTGAAGGCCATTTCACATGAGGAACTTAGGTAAATCAAAATAAATTTATACATGCATATGCCTAGAAACACATGTGCATGACAGTACTATTTATATATTGCTTGATAGTATATTAAAACTCAAGATTACTATTGAGTTTAGCTGATATAATATACTTATGGTCAAATGAATAGGATTTTAGAAACGAACAACTGACTTATGACAATGTTTGAAAAAGATAAAATACTTTGTAATGTATCGTGCTCTGTGTTTTTCCCATTTTTCACTCCATAGATTGGTCTACAAATGGTTTCTTCTAATCTACAAACTCAGCTATGCATTTGGCGTTGTGGGTTATTTGGCTATCATATTTACAATGTGTGGACTCCATTTATTTTTCAAGTAAGTATCTCCAATGAAGATATTAATATCTCTCTAAGCACTTGCTTGTACATTCACCTGGTCAAGTTCTCGGTATATGGAAGCCACATTTGTCCCAACCATTTTCCATGCACACATTGTTTATAGTAGATTTCAGTAGCATAGCAGATGTCATTGGGGAAATCATAAGAGAAGTTAAGAGAGAACCCTACAGAATAAAATTTTTTCAAAAAACTATAAGCTTTAATTCAAGAAATGAATCTCCGGCAACATTTTTGAAAAATACGTTTCTCAATATGTTTTTAGATTTCCAGAGAAATTCTTCATTCCAGACTACATCAACCATAAGTGAAAAACATATATAGCATAGCATTTTCATTTTAACTACAATGAACCCCAAAGTAAAGGTCCATTATCATTAATAACTTTGTAATTTATTTAACACTTTCTCAAAAAGCTAAGTTGGTAAATCTGGTTATTTAATATGCTTTGAAAATGTAAATTAATTTCAAAGGATAGTAACTTTTTCCTTCTTCCTACTTAAATATCAAAGGCCTGAATAAGTTCAATCAATTTATTTCTTTTTTGTTTAAAAAAGGTGATTAATGTATGTTAATAAAAGATGATACTCAAGCAACAGAATAATTTCAGGTAGTTAAGTAGTTTCCTACATTTAAGGTACTCAGATGCTTATTGTTTACTTGCTTTTTTTTAACACCCTTCTTTACTCCACCTGGAAAAAGAATATTCCAAAGGAAGTTATACAGCTTAATAACCCACATGAATTAGTACTATTAGACTACCAAGAAAATGCCAATGCATGTCACAACTTTTATGACAAAATGAATATTTTTCATTTGCTGTTCTCTTATTATAAGTGTATTAAAGCTAGTATATTTTCTTTATACATGTATTTATTTTTCCAGATGAAAGTATGATATACATTTTGTTATTTGGTTTTTCACTTTGGACTTACATGTTTACTCAAATACTTTTTTTTAACTATACTTGGCTAGGGTACAAAGAAACACTGTTATTTATTACAACCTCAACCATTAAAGCTAAAGCATTTCAAAATCAACAAAGGAAAACAAAAATGGATGTGATATTCCCAGATAACAGCAAAGCACTAAATGAATTTCATAACTATGGCAGAACTTTTCTTTTAAAATAGGAAAAAGATATTTGTATTAAACTTCATCATCATAATTAAATATAGCATTATTATACTGAATATTGACTTTATACATTATGCAAGACTTTGCTGTCACTAAAATGTATTATTAAAAGTAGGTTGACAGGTGTGACAAAATCTGCTTGTGTGCCCTCAGAAAAAATATGTAAGCTTTGTACTTGATCTGCAAATTTAAAAGATCACCATTAAAAGTAGCTCTATATTTGTGGTAGAGTAATTCTTACTGAAAAACAAATTTTTCTTCCACAAAATTCTGAAGCGTCATTTTTCTTCTATATATCTTCTTCCTTAAAACCTTGAGAACTATGCTACCCGATACAGTAGCTGCTAGCTCATGTGACCATTGAGCACTTAAAATATAAAATAAGATGTACTGTAAGTGTACTATAAGTGTAAAATACACAGTGGATTTCAAAGCCAGTATGAAAATATAATTTTTATATTGACTACATGTTGAAATGATGATAGTATTTAGGATGTAGTGGTGAAATGATTTAATCTGTTTCTTTTTACCTCTTTCATGTGATTATTAGAAAAAATTTTCATTTTCTATGTATGTCCAATCTATATTTCCACTGGACAGCACTGTTCTAGAATTTTGTTTCTGGTACCCAAGAACCCGCCTTGACTGCGGACAGTTGGAAACAGGAAACTGAGTGCTTAGAAATTGAAAGAGAGGTAAAGAGCTAAAAAGAGGAAGAAAATCTTGGGAGAAATGAAGGGAATCAGGATAGTTATACCTATGACTCAGAACTAAGCTCCCACTTGGAAGACAGTTGCTGCGATGTGCCATGGACGAGGTCCTCATGGTGGGGGCTGAGGCTGTGTAATCAACCTGTGTTCTGGGAAGGGAATTTAAGACGTACCACAACGCTATTGAAAGCAGCTCAAAGCAAGGGCCGGCCGAGTGGCTCAGTTGGTTAAGAGTTCACTCAAGAATTTGAGCTCTGAGCAACAGCAGTTCGAGTCCCGGCCCGAGCTGAGCAGCCGCTGAGCTGCCAACAGGTAGCAGGATGGCTCAGCTAAAAAACAAACAAACAAACAAACAAAAAAAAACGAAAGCAGCTCAAAGCAAAATGCCCCAGAATATCTCACGTTGACGTTACTCTAAATCTCTGGGACCATAACAGAAATTGAACGGTAGAGATTGGCAACCTTTAACTCATAAAATAAGGAAGGCAATGGGATGGAGAGCCAGCCCTGGTGGAAGGACTCTTCCTGTGGCAACAGCAAAATCCGATTTCACAAGCATTTCATAAAACTTATGGAGCAGGAGCGCCTACCATTTTCTAGCAGGAAAGGGAAGGAAAGTAACTCTACAGATCTGTTATTGCTGGTTCAAGACATAGAGAAGACACTGATTCTTTTCTTTTTTTTTACACACTGTCTATATTACTTCATTTTAGTGAATATAAGAATATTTGTAAGGGCTTTAATTAAATCACTTGAACATACAGTTGTACAGTTGTCCTAAGACTATTATTATCTCATAAGATTTTAAGATTCTTAACCATGACTTCTCCTCCAATGAGGCATACCAAGGACTTAATCCTTTAGATTGGGAAGAAATTATTTTTTCACTACTAAGTATTGTTGATCATCATTGTATAAAGCTTCTTTTCTGTGGAACCACAAATTTGTTACTATACTTTTTATCAATAGGGTTATAAATGCATGCTCCCCTGGACATGGAGGGAAAATCATTCACTCCTCCCCACTGTTCTTGTTTTTAGATACACCCAGGCAAATCTTAAAAGGAAGGAGCCACCCCATGTTGGAATTCCCAATTCACATTACCAAAAGATCTGTACCCTCTGAGTCTATAAAACTCTCTCTTTACGTTTCCCTCTCAAATAACAGAGAACAAAAATGCCCAGAAGTTTCCAGAGACAGACTACCTTTCTGTTCTCCACTCCCTTCCTGACTCAGTCCATTACTAATATCTGAGGCTGTTGACAGATAAAGCAAACGAAGTGTACAATGATTAAGATTCAGAAATCAAATTAGGTGCTAATTATTCACTTTTTCTCTTAAAAAAGAAAAAAAAGAGGGAGCTATCATAGAGAATCCTAAGAAGCAGTTGAAGACTCTCCCAAGGATTACTTCATCTACTTAGCACTGAGTGGTAAAATTTTAAGGAAATTTAGAGAATTTAAATTCATTAAGAAAAAGGAAAGCTACACAAATCAATGAAAAGAATACCCCAAGTTTCTCCTAGATACTATGCTGGGAAGTATTTTCCTAACTACAGCCCTCCCCTGCCCCCCAAATGCCACATTCTTATTTCCTTCCACTGTTGTTTTTAATAGAATCAAGGCTAGAGATTCCATGGATTTCGGCATCGTGTCCTTGTTCTATGGACTCTATTATGGCATAATGGGGAGAGACTTTGCAGAGATCTGCTCAGATTACATGGCTTCTACTATAGGGGTGAGTGTTGCTTTTATTCTTTGTAGCCATTTATGGTACATGGAGAAATGGCCTCATCGTACACCACATTTGTATTTATTTTCAGAAATTGGTAAATCTTTTGTGGTTCTCTCAGCCCTATTTCTCCTTGGATTTTCCTTGCATCAAAAACTGTCTTTGCTAATTAATTAGAAAATCCATTTCTTATTAATATGATGTGTGCAAAATAAGGCATCTTTTAAAATAAAATATACTAATTATTTGGAAGTAACCATATCTAGCATACTCCAATCGCCAACATTTAAAAGATTAGTAAGAATTCAATGATAACAAAAGTGCTTCATCTTTGCCTAATGCAAACGAAAATCATATTTGATGCCCATAAAACATTTTAGAATCAACTAGTGCTTCGGGTAATACTCATCATAAACATCAGTTATTGTTATATAGCATTTGAAGAAGTAGAAGACAAAAAAAGTGTGCTAAATATATTCTGACTATATATTGTTCCCTGGAATTAAAAAAGAAACTCTAATAATTTTTTTTAATGTCTTAAAACAAAACTCGGGATAGATATACTTTCCAGTTAGATGCATTCCAGGTTCAGATATTAGGACCCTTCGTCTTGTCTGACACATGCTCATTTCCTAAATACTTACAAGCCAAAGTCTTCAGGGATGGCCCAGTAGTTTCAGGAATTTAGCATCTCTGTCCTTTATCAGCCTCTCAGTGTACAGCCAGATATGACATGGAAAACCTAGTGTGAATGACAAGAATGAACGTCAGGACTATTCTCTCTCTCTATTGGGGCAAGACTGAGTGGACATGGCCTTGACATTATCCCTGCCCCATCTTCCCTTCCCCATTTCCATAGGCTCTATCTCACCCTTTTCCTAGGGCCTGGAATCCAAGTTCTGTGGTGAAATGCTGGAACTAGATACCTTTTGGAATTTCTCTGCCATGTGTCATCTATGGGACCACAGCCTTTCTTATAAGGTTTGAGGTGAACAAAGGAGGAAGCATTTTCACTCCCAGTTCCTCCAACAAAAACCAGAAACCATACCCCTTAAAAAATCCCCAAAGCCTCTTGTGCTTGTTTATCAACAAGAGAGGAAGAGAACGGTTCTATGTACTCTCTCCTCTGGTGGACCAGGAAGAAAATATTTAACCTGGTAAGACAATCAAGTCTTTAAGCACCAACTTTCTGGAGTCTTCTCACCTGATCCCACCCATCCCCTGTCACCTTCATTTCAATGACCAAATATATAAAACCCAGTGCCTCGAGTCACTGGCATAGCCACTAGTGACTTGAACAGATGGTGTGTGTGTGTGTGTGTGTGTGTGTGTGTGTGTGTGTGTGTGTGTGTGTGTGTGCGCGCACGCGTACGTGCACACTATAATCACATAGGAATTAAAAAATAGAGAGCGAGATGCCTGGGCTTACTCCAGAGCTATGAATCAGAATCTCCAGGAGAATAAAGGGAGGGTTCAGATTCTGGGTGAGCTTAAAAGGCTTCCCGTGTAATTCTGAACTATAGCCCTGGATAAAAACTGTTCCTCTTGAAGGATTCCTTAGTGTGGAGGTTAAATGGAGGTTATAATTAGCAATGGACTTTGAGTCCCTTTGTGGTTCAGTGGGGTTTTGCCTGGATACCTTACCCCCACTGTAGCATTGTTCCATGAGAAAAAGCGTTTCAAGCTCTAAGTCAGTAAAGACTCTATGTCCCAAAGCCTGGCAGTGGCTTCCCTGTGTTCGGAGAATGGCATGTGCTTTCCTTTCCTATGGAGCTCTGTGCATTTCCCCCCAACAGTTCTACAGTGTCAGTGGGATGCCCACACGGAGCTTGTCAGACAGTATCTGCGCCGTCTGTGGACAGAAGATCATTGTGGAGCTCGATGAAGAAGGGCTCATTGAAAACACCTACCAGCTTTCATGCAGTCATGTGTATCCTTTTCATGGGAAACTATTTGGTCTTCATGAAGCCAATGTTGGGAGGCAAATTTCAACTAATCTGTGTTGGGCGTGGGAGATGGCAAGTTAGGGAAGGCTGTCTCATCACCTTCTCCCGCTTCCTCTCCTCCTCCTATCCCCATCTCCCCTGCTCGCCTTAGTTTCCAGGCCTTTCTCCTCCTGCCCATCTGCCTTTTGGGGGCTTTCTGATCATGGCTGCTGAATGATGACCTGCTAATTAAGGTGACCCTCCTCCTCCTCCAGTAATTTCCTTTTTTGAAAAGGAATCTTAATGCCACTCGGACAGCCTGCTGGCTGGGAAAGTTGAGAAGCCTTCAGTGAACAGGTAGCCAAAAGGGACCAGGGAGAGAAGGGGTTGAGGTGAGGAAGAGAATGAAGTTTCAGGTGCAGGGAGGAGCTCAGAACTGTCCAGGGAAAGTCTTGTGTCTGAATCTCACAGGACCAAGAACAACGAACTGTGCTTTGCCCTGGAAATAATCCTAGGAACGTGCTTGTGTCAACACTGTAATGGGGGCAGCCAAGTATCAGTTTTGGTCTTGAAAAGAGACAGCAGGGCACCATACATTACAAAAGGAGGGACCAAAACATGAGCACCAGCTCTTGGACTGGCCTACGGGTGCTGCCCAAATAGCCATCTACCGACTGAGAGATCTTTAGGTGTTAGGGACCAGGCAAGCCTGGACCTGGAAACCAGCATTTTTCTGGGAACTCCAGTAACTATCAAGGAGGACCTCAATGTGTAGAAAGGTTCTGGGGTAGGGAGACCTGAGCGGGGCCGGCTGCTTCCTGAGCATATAACTCTGAATACTAAAGTTGGCCTGGGAACAATCAGTATTTTCATTCTTTTCTATATACTTTATATATCTTTATTTTATACTACAATATCAATGTTATAATATTGCTATACACTCAGTTCAAAGCTCTGGCATTATGAGATGATTAAAGCATCTGTCTTTTGCCTCTGAAACCCACCTAACTCAGTCAATGATACCTTAGGTGTGCAGAGCCTATTATTCAATTCTGTTTAATCTAGACAGATTCCATTTATTCAATCCTGAGAGTAAAAAATGGGACCAAATGCATCTGAAATGTACTAGGAGCCCTTACTCCACCATTTAATCCTGAACAGTTTAAAGTTAGAAACACAAAGATAGCCCATATGGAATTCTATGGTGGTTTTTCAGGGTGACAGCTTTCCCAAAAAACTATCATTCTGAGTAGAAATTTTCCAAGCCTGGCCCGAGTTTTAAATATGATTTACTTTTCAATTGTTGGAACAGAGCCCTTTCTGCCATTTGCAAGTAGAAATATTTTCTCTCTCCACTTTTAAAAGCCCTTAGGGATTGTTGTACATGTGTGCATATGTAATCCAAAATGTAGTTATCTTTAAATTTGCTTCACAGGGAATATTATTAATGGCCCATTTTAGCATGCGTCCCATTAACAAGGCAGGGGCAGACATCTGAGTATTGCTCTGAGGCAGTTCTGCCAGTGTGGAGGCTGTTTAGCACGGAGATTTTGAAGCTGAAAGAATTTTAAAGAGGAGGTAAGCATTTCAGTACTGGCTCTATGACCCCTGAACTCTATACTTATCTGGAAGGTGGGACCATACTCCAGCCCTTTTGAATGAAGGGTTTGGATTCAAAATCTTTGGTATATCACTTTGTTGACCCAAGCATATTTCAAAAGTGACCCCAGTTCCAAGAACATGAAATAGTGGAAACTCTTAGTTGCCCACAGATCTAATATTCAGGAATTATTCACATGGCCTTGACTTGCGAACACCTCCACAGTCCTCCATTTGTTAGGGAGGGGACCTCAACATAATGCTGTTCACATGGGTGTGTCGCAGGCCAGACACAAAATCATGTGATCTTGGTCCAGAAAACCACAGTGTGATCCATGACTATAGAAGTAAACAAGTCAATAGGATGGATCTCATAATATTGGGTTGTTGGAAAAGTCATAATGCATTTTTGGAACAAAAAACAGAAAAAATACGTCATGACTTTTCCGACAACCTAATAGTTAATCATTTTGCCCAAATCTACACAATGCTATAGAACCTGGGAAAATATATTTGCAAAAGTAATTCATTTTGAATGATTCATTCAAATATTCGTTCACTACATTGGCACTGAGGCACTGCCTAAGGTGCTGGGGACACAGATGAATGAGGCAGTCCCACAGGTAACATATGGTCCAGCAGACACATGTAAGTACACAGATCGCCATGATACAGTGTGGTACATGCGCTAATAAGATTGAGTCCCTGGTGCTGTAGGAAAACACAGGGTTCACTCTTAACTTTGGGGGCAAAGGGTCAAACGTTCTGAGCAAGGGGATGTATGTAAATGAATCTGTAAATACCTAGGCTTATATTCTATTAAAAATAACTGGCTCCTTATCCGTAATTAAAAAAAGTTGAGAAAAAAACTTATGAAGCTAATAGAAGTATGTGTAAGCTTATGAACACACATAATTTAAACTTGTCTAAGTGCCTAAGTCTGATTACATAGTAGGTCATGAGCAGTACTACACAAAAATAGGATAGGGAAATGCTATGGTAAATGCATGAGAAATGCACAATAAGTGAGACAGGGAAATAAAATGATCTAGGTACAGAAAATATTACTGTAAAAAAAAAAGCACATTCACATTCTTTATCTAATTTAATTCTTGTGAGCATCGGGGGAGGCAAGAAGCTAAGTGAATTCCTCAGGGTCATACAGCTATTGCAGCTCCGACTACAAGCTCACAATCTTTGGTGGCTCCACTGTCCTGCAGGATCTTCCCTAAAAACGTTACGTGCACCATCAAGTCAAGTCTGACAGCCACGCAGTCTCACCCTCCACTACTCTGCCCTACAGATGGGATCATTCCCCTTGTGTCCTCATGAGGCAGACCTTGCCTTTTCATCTCTAGAAGCTTCCCTAACGAGATGCCTAAGCTTCCATGAATTCTGCATCCGAGGTTGGTGTATCGTTGGTAAAAAGCAGACTTGCCCTTACTGCAAAGAGAAGGTTGATTTGAAGAGAATGATCAGTAACCCGTATCCTTTTTTTAAAAAAGTTATGAAATAGTATCTTAAATGTTCCTGGTAATTCATTCTTCCGTCTAAATTGTCACTATCTTCATTATAGTTACAGCAGAAAACTTTCCCCTAACCATCTATTTCCAAACAACTTGCTGGTCTCTTTTCTCTCCTGTGCTTATGTTACTATTCTGGTTAGAAACTTAAAAGCCAAAAGGAGACACATTCTACTCTTTATATTCCATATGTTCCACTATAAGTGTTTTAGTGGAAATGTGATGACACTGCAAAAGATAAGTAAATGTCTGGAAGGATTAGATAGATAGATAGATAGATAGATAGATAGATAGATAGATAGATAGATAGATAGATGGATGAATGATAGGTAATGGGTGGATGGGATGGGTGGATGGGTAGATAAATACATTGGAATTGAAATTTTAAATGCCTCAAATGTGAACTAGAGTATAGGAAAGTATTTTTAAGGTATACCAAATTTTATTATTTCCAGAAATGAGTAGGGGTGTTCCCCCCTGGATTTTAGTTTTTTACTTCCTTGCCTTGCGTCATCTTTCCTTAGGCTAAGCCCTAGTGATAATAATATGGAAAGGAAATGAACATTATGTTTATAGCAACTAGGATTTTTATAGACAACAGGGATCCCCAACAGAACAAACCCAAATCTCACTAAGGAAGGTAATGGCCCCATTCAGAGCTGACCAGGAAGACTTGGTCTTCAACCCCACTGGCCCAAGACCGTAATATCTCTTCCAGGGGGGTAAATGGGATTGAGACACAGCCCCCTTAAAGCAGAAGAACACTGAGAGGTTGGCATCAACCTGCCAAGTAATCTCTCTTCTCATAAGAAGCAGCCTTTCTATACTTTCTGAGTACCAGTCACCTAAATTGTACAGTGCTAAAGATGACACCCCCTTGCTTTCTGCTCCCCCTTCTCTTTGCCAACCTTCAATGTATATTGGCTGTTGGCAGCAACACCGCCATCTCTGAGGACTGCAAATTTTAGCTGGGAATGCACACTCATGTCAAGTAGGGCAGCCAAGGAGGCAGCATCCATGGGTCTGTGGGTCTTAGAGCCAGACCATAGCAACAAACTACACCCTCTGCAGCCACCAGCCCCAACTACAGGCCCAGCCTTTCTCAGTGAGTCAGTGCAACTCAAGCACAGCCAAGGTTAAAGGTGTGCAATGCTCCTTCCTTCTTCCTTTGCGTCCGCTCTCCCTGAATTTCCCTTCTCATATGAGGAGACCGAGTCCAGGGCCACTTTGGGTTATAACTTATAAAAGTATAGTACAGGGCCGGCCGAGTGGCTCAGTTGGTTAAGAGCTCGCTCAAGAGTTTGAGCTCTGAGCAACAGTGGTTCGATTCCCGGCCCGAGCTGAGCAGCCGCTGAGCTGCCAACAGGTGGCAGGATGGCTCAGCTTAAACAAACAAACAAACAAACAAACAAAAAAACTATAGTACATAGATCTTTGGGATAAAATTGGTGATAATATGATCATAAGTGTCACCTTAAATGATCATTTAAGTATCAAAGGACAATTGGTTTCTTTATATAGGCTTGAGAGAATAGACTTTTGAATATTACATGTATTCTTTTGATTGAGACTCAGTATAGTAAAAAGCTACATGTGAAAAAATCTGCCACTATGTATGTATTAATAACATTGCTATGAGAGACGCTATGTATTAAGTCCCCTTAGCACAATTTTTCAACGATACCAGGAAAACATATATCTAATCTGTGAACACATGTTTTTCTTAATATAAAATGAGTTCCTTCTGGTTAACTGACTATATATAGGTAAGCCCAGAGTTGTTTTTGCTCGGTTACAGAAGGTTCCGTTATCCTTGGCTTTCCAATGAAGTTCATTTCCCTCTTCCCCTTTCTTTTAGCATAAGACCCTTGCCTTTTTTTCTTGTTATGCAGTTTGAGATTGTATTCTAAACTGGGTCAATTTATTTTTGGAAATTAGGTGTACATAACAGTGACAACCAAATGCTATAAAAATCATGTAAGGGGCTTTTAAATAAGCACATAGAATTACCAAGAAAGGAAATAGCCACTTATGATATTGCTTATTATGTTTGCAAATGCTATTTATGAATGTTTCTGCTACTTGGCTGTATAGCGAGCAACCTCCTTAACTGAGGTTTAGCTGGGAGCGCTCACACATTTTGTATGGACAAATCCTGGACTGGCTTCGTTATCTGGTGGCCTGGCAACCCATGGTGATAGGGATAGTACAAGGCATTAACTATTCACTAGGGCTAGAATAGTACAACAAAGTTACCCCAGAAACAATGTATTGCACGTTGGAATATCTTCAAATCCTTGATCCTACATATAATATTGACTTTTCTTCATTTTAGAGATGATCCCAAAAGAGAACAGAACAAAATTTGGTCTACATAAGACAATTTGTGTATGTGGAAAGAATTTAAAGAGCTGAGCAACAGAATAAACAAATGATGTGTGCTTTGCATCTTTCCTGTTATGACTGTTTTCTAATCCATGCATGTGACACATTTGTTACAACTTCCCCCACCCCCCCACCATGGACATACCATCTCTAGTTTGGCTGATAATGATCTCATCTGTAAAATGTTTTCAGAGGTTTGCAAAGTACTTCTCACATAGAACATTTAGTTATAACAAATACCTTCTGATCAGTTCAAAATCTTCGAAGAAGTAGGCAGAGTTGTTAAGTAACCTGTGATTTTAAGGATAGGGCCTTCTCTGCATTTTGTGCTTATGACCACGTGGCAGCTTCAGCACCACAAAGATCTGTATAGAGAGGATTACTCCTGAAACCTCTAGCACTAGGTGCCACAGCCCACTCATTGGGCCAGCACTACGCCCGAGTTCCTGGGCCTGCCAAATGCACCCAACCCATCCAAGGACTGCACTGAAGTAGAGAGACTTACTCTCTTCTTTTGTGCCACTCTGTACACACACACACACACACACACACACACACACACAATCACTCTGTTCCTATACTCTTCTATTTTCTTCATAGCACTTATCAGTACCTGAAATGATATCTTATATTTGTTTATTGTCTTCCCCTTCATGAAGGCAAAGAATTTTATCTGTTTTGTTCCCTACTGCATCTCCACCACTTGGGAGCAATGCCTGGCCCATAGTAGGCACTCAATAAATATTTGTTAAAAGAATGAATTAATCCAGCAGGAAGGAACAAAATTAATGGAATAGGGAAGACCAATCAGAAAGAATTAACCCAAGAATGATATGCTGGACTCCCCAAATTAATCCATTTTAAATTACTGGCCATTTGTTAAACAGCTAACACTGTATATATAACCCCAGACATCTACTCCGCAATACTTGAAGACATTACACTTATAGGAAGTAGAAACACACCTATTGTCAAAAATACTGGCAATGTACTTAATGCTATTCAAAGTTTCATCATAGTTGTAACGAAAAAAGCTCACAATAAGATTTCTACCTGTTAGCTTGCCTTCTCGAAGCTGCCCAATGCAGTATTATTATTGATTCACCATATATATTATTAGACAACTTAACTCTGCTTTATTTCTCAGCAAACATTTCAATGATTCAATATTACATACCAGGCATGTGCAAGGGTTAAGGAAATAAAACAAGATTCTTGAGCTTAGAGTCTATTGACCAGTAAAAGACCTCACTGAAAGACTTCACTTGGGTAAAGCACTGAAAATTAGAATGTCTTCTGTAAAAAGAGCCCTTTAATTGACCTCTGATATATTGGGTTGTCGGAAAAGTCATGACGTGTTTTTTCTGTTTTTTGTTTAAAAATGCATCATGACTTTTCCGACAACCCAATATTTGCCACTTCTCTTTTGTGGACAGCTTTTAGAGCCCTTTAAAACCCTGGGCAAGTAAACCATATGTATCCGTATGGAATTCTGAACAATCCTCCGAGTTCGGAAATGTTAGATAATAATAACTAAACAATCCTAGAAAAAAAATAAAGATGCTGTTTTCTTTATGCAGTTTAAGTATTTAAAACCAAATCCCAATTTTGTGAAGATATATATATATATATATATATATATATATATATAATATATATATCATATATATATGCTGTACACTACAGTTACCAGTGGTTATCTGAAGGTGAGGGGATAAGAGCTGATTATTATTTTCTTTTATACGTTCTTATCTCTTTTCCAAAATTTCTACGGTAAACATGTTTAACATTTTCAATGAGAAAAATAAAAATTATTTTGAAAATATTACTTTAAATCTGTCAATTAACTATGAAGCTATTCCTAGTGCTGTTTAAGTTACTGAAATTCAATCTATAGATCAAGCCCATGTTAAATGTGCCTGGTTCCCATGATAATTAAATAAAATTATTTAATTTTATAAGTAATTTTAATTTGATAAGTAAAGCCAAAAGCCCATTATTGTGTTTGGTTTTTGTGGCATCTCCTCAAGTTTCCTTCTCCTGAACTTTTCTACTTTTTTTCTTAGACTGGTTACTGTTTCATCTATAATACTCTCTCAGGAGTTTGTACGAGACAGAAGAAACGCTATGTGAGTGTCTCAAGGACCAAAGCCTGTTTTGCACTTAAAGAACTTATTTCTTTGGGTTATTTTTCTGAGGACAACAGGATCCCTTATATCTCCACTTGTACCCATAACAGAAAAATATCTATTTGCAAATCATAATATATGAGGAGACAAATCACTTCTTGGAAAATAATAATGGCAGCTAAAATCTACTGCAGGTACCCATCACCCCATGCAAGCACCCCACAGTTCCCCTTCTCATAGGCTTGGTCCTCTCCTCACCCTGCCAGAGTGAGGTAGCAAGGGGTGTACACTCAGTGGTTTAGTTACATTACTGTACATTAATGCCTACATCATGCCCTGTGATCTCAATATTATTATCCCTATGTTAAGAACAGGAAACTATTTTGGGTCAAGTTAAGTCACTTGTCCAAAGATACACATCTACTTGTTGGGTACAGACAATTAACAAAGAGGCTGGATGTCAAATTAGGGTTCCGAAGATTTTATTAATCTGAGCTCAGGGACCGCCTCTCCAACTAAGGAGAGACAGCCCTAAGGCTCAGGGGGGTAAGGTTTTTATAAGGCAGGGCTATAAGTAAAGTAAGTTACAGAAGCCAAAAAAAGAATGTGCAGTTATTCCAGTTAAAACAGCATCCTGCTGTCACAACAGTGCTGTTATGTTCAGATGTCTTAAGAGTATATCGTGACCAGGTTGAGCTGACTGCACAACCTGTCCCTTAGAGATATGGATAATCAATGTTAGAAACTGAGGACTGAGGTAGGGGGTTGTTAACCACTGTGAGGCCTCTTGATATGTTAAGATAGAGGCAAGGGGAGGGAAGGAAGGGGGAGCTGAGGAATGTTTTTCTTTAACCTTTTATTCCCCAGAAGCAAAGCAGGTATACAGAAGCAAAAAGAGCTGTTAGTTCTTAGAGTCTAGCTGGAGTAGCTGAAGTATGATTTTTTTAACGTGAATCTGTCTGGCCTATGGTCCGGGCCGGAGTCCCTTCATACTAACCCAGGTCTTTCAGGCTCCAGAGCCCAATTAACCACACAGACCCTGTGCTGGCTGAAAACGGAGCAGGGTCAAAGGAGGTTCACTTCCTTTCACATATGGTTCCCAGCTTAAGAGGAAAGTCACACCCAATCAGTCAACAGCTCTTAGATTTTAAATGTAATGCATTAATTACATTCAATGCAATACATTATTAAATCTAAATGATAAAAATGAACATATGGAAGTAGTATCTATCTTTTAAGTGACTGTGTATCAAATATTTTGAGTCATTAAGAGGAACCTCTAGGTTTATACTTGTTTAAAAACCTACTTCACTCATACGTACTAGTATAAATGTTCAGAAAAAAAAAAAGAGAGAGAAAGGGCTTTTTAGAATCAGAAACAAGACTTTTCAAAGAAAAAAAGAAAAAGCACCATGATGCAGGGCAGACAAACTAGGGACTGAGAGCCAGAGTAACTCAACACTAATTACAACTTCGCGTGTGAAGGCTGGAGGGCGCTCAGGGCCAGGGATAGGAAAGGTCCTTTCAAATTCTTCTAAACCACGTTTTATTTACTTTGCGAGTGTGATTTTCATGGAAAGACATAATTTACTGTATCTTGTGTTATGGACCCTCTCTCGAATGGGTACAGAAACCTATCAAAAGCCCAGTCAGACAGACAGACCTGTTCATATGAAAACATATCCCCGAGGCAATTTGTGTCTTGTAAAAAAAAAGTTTGATGGGGACACACAACACTTTTTTGTAGGCATAGCAACAGGTTTGGATGAGTGACCCCAATATTTTGCCTTGTGGATCACGATAGCAGTCACACAGAAAGGACAGCTAGGGGGTACAGATATGGATGAGTCTGCTAGCAGAAAGCTGACCAACACGTTCATTGAAAGTCTTCTGTTCATCTGTGCTATCTCCTAATGAATGAAACCAGTGGCTACAGAGAATGCAGATATCAATAATGGACTCAGATCATGATTATCTCCTAGTATAAAGAAAAACCAGGGTCGGCCGAATGGCACAATGGTTAAGAATTGGCCTGGGACGCCAGAGGGCCCCGGTTCGGATCCCACATATGAGGGCCAGTGACACTGCCCTCCACAGCTAAGATGCTGAACAACAGCTCAACCTGGAGCTGGGCTGCCATGAGTCGCCGGCAACAGCGTAGGCTGCAGCCCCTGTGGCAGTGGGTTGCCATGGGCTACCGTGTGTAGCCAGCAGCCAGCATGAGCAGCCAGCAGCCTCCGTGAGTCCAGAAGCCGGCGACTGATCTGCCTCGCCCGGGAAGAGCGCAATGATGGTGCCAACTTGGGCCAGTGAAGCAACATCCTCCACAACTAGACTGAAGAACAAAACGACAGCAACTTGTCTGTTCCCCTTCCCCCAATTCCCCAATAAAAAAATGTTTTTAAAAAAAAAGTATGGGTTAAAAAAAAAAAGAAAAACCAAAAGCCAATTGTTTTCCTCCAATCTTGTAGCAGTTTTTATAAAACAGCACTCCAGATAAAATTTGAAGTTTTAGTCGTTTTAGTAAGCAAGCCCTCAAATGATAGTACAGTCCTGTGGTTTATACAGAATTGTGGCAGAAAGGACTTAGTTACAACTACCGTGATAAAGACCATCATCCGACCAAGACTGGCCTTTCATTAAGGAACCTAGGACTTCATAGCAGCTCTCAAACTTAACCAAAACCCTTCCTGTTGCGTTTCGTCAGTAGGCCACTCCAGGTAGGTCTTGGTGTTCATTATCTTCCGCAACTTACAAAAACGCTGGGGGATGGCCTTCTTCTCAATGGGCTCCAGAAGAATGAGGATGGCAGCATCGTTGCTCTCATCAAAGAGACGAAAATGGGAGAAATCCAGTTCATACTTGCACCACTCACTCCTCACAAAGTTTTCAGAAAGCACGAAGATAGTTTTGTGACTCTTTTCAATGGAGTCAATGATATTGTCAATAATCCATTTGCCAGGAATAAAGTCCCGCTTATGAAGACACAACTTAAAGGGAGGGTTGAAGTGCTCCAGCTCCTGGACCATGAGGTTCTCCACCCAGTGGGAATCCTGTTCACTGTAAGACACAAAGGCATCATAACAGATGTCCCTGTGGGGAGCTTTCCTGGGCTTCCTTTTGGCCTGGAGCCAGGCCCACATCATTTTCATGTACCACAATCCATGGAAACGGTGGCACAGCACCCCAGTGACCAGGATCAACAGGAAAATGGCACAGCACAAGGCAGACACTAGAGCTGCCTGGTGGCACTCGAAAATGGAGAGGTGAGTGTCCTGAACCCGTTGGCCCCACACATGGGATGGAGAGGTACACAGGTAGTTTTCTGGCCAATCAATCAGGACTTGGGCCAGGCCATGCTGCTTCTGAGTGAAAGACAAGAATTCACAGGAGCAAATGAAGTTGTTGTCACCAGCTTCCAAAGTCTTCAGGTTTTGAAAAGAATCGAGTTGCTCCTTAGAAAAAGTATTGATTGTATTTCTGCTGATTCTCATGACTAGTAACATGGGTAAGAAGGAGGCATCTGGTAGAGTGTTCAGCTTATTTCTGGAAATATAAAGTTCTTTGAGTTGTGGCATAAGCAAAGAAAATGAATTGAGATTGTTATTGCTAACATCTAAAATTTCCAGTGTCTGGGGAATGCAAGAGGTTAAACTGTGTATTCTTGTGCTTGACAAGTTCAAATATTTCATCTTTTCTGGCCACCGACAAGTTTCAGGTATAGGATGAAAATTATTCTTACTGATATCAAGGTTAGTCAGGTTTTTCAGAGTAAGCAAAATTTCTCCAGTTTCATCTAATGATGTCAAATGATTTTGCCTTAAAATTAAGGTTTGTAGGGAGGGCCAGGCATGCTCACAGGCGGAGTTTCTCAATAAGTTTCCAATCAATAAATTGTCACTGAGATCCAAATACTCTAATGATTTTAAATGTCGTGAAAGTGAACAAGGAACCAGAAAAACCTTACTGCTTTCTATTGTGATTCTTTTAATGTTTTCTGCAAGTGAATATACACTACTCAGGTCATAAAATGAGTAAAAATGTGGAATATGCAACCTCCGTATTGTTAATGTCCCTATTTTAACTGCATTTCTAATTCTATCCCAAACAGATGGGTCAAAATCACCAACTCCATCAAGGGTACAATCATCAAATTCCACATCTAACACTCCAGAAACAGAACTCAACAGTTTCACAACTTCATTAAAACTTTTATCAGTGATTTCCACATTTCTAAATTTTAACTTTTTAATCAATGTATTGGTTTCCTTGATGGATACTTCTGGAAAACGGAAAGTGTTCAAATGAGTATCTCTCAGTTCAAAATATTCCAAAGAACTTAAAAGATCTACAACAATATCCAGAAGGAAAACAGGCTGCTTTAGATGAAGGATCAGGTGACTGATGTTCTGAATTGACTTCAAACTGTTTGGCTCATACCTTTGCAGATTGGAAGCAACAATCTCAAGCTCCTCAAGAAAAGTTAGCCCAGCAAAATCCTTTTCCTGAATCTCAGTGAAGGTGCGCGTATTTCCTACTTTCAGGATTCGCAAATTGGTGAGATGAGAAAAAAGAGATGTTTTCCCAAGTGTTTTGTAAGGATTTTCCAGTAAGTTTAAGAATTTCAAGGAAGAGAGGGGCCTGAACCAGGACGATGATAAATTAGGTAAGTGGTTATGGGATAAGTCCAAATGTTCGAGGCTTCCCAGGGAGGAAAAAGAATTTTCCTCTATTGTGTTAATATTGTTGGACTTCAGGCTCAGAGCCCTGAGGTTCACACAGTTCCGCAGGTCACTGTCACTGACATAGGTGATCTTGTTGTTGGACAGGTCAAGGCTTTTCATAGTTGCCGTGAGCTCAGAGGGGATGGAGATTAAAGATCTAGACTGGCCATCGCAGACACCAGTGGAGTCACAAGTCAGAGGAGAAGCCTGATCAGAGGCCCCTTCCTTAAACAGGATGATTACGGCCCCCAAGACCCACACTGTCCACAAGGCAAGAGGCATTATCCCGTGATTCAACCTACAAATAAAAGAAGCTCAAATGAGTGACTGTGTTTGACACATATTGTAATTTCAGTTCTTGACAAATGTTTTGTAGGGCATAACACACACACACACACACACACACACACACACACACGCACATACATGCATGCATGCACACACATATACACAGAACTCCCAGGAAATAACCAAGAGGCAAACGTAATGTATGAATGAGGATAAAAATGAATTCCCTGATACATCCAGCAACACTAACTCAGATACACTGCCACTGTGCAATGAGTTAAAAGCACCATACCACTTGGGGGTACAGAGCAGGACTCAATCAACGTGGGTTGAAAGAACGAGTAAATGAATGAATAGAAGAATGAACAAGAAAGCAGCTTATGGGCTAGGCTTCTTAATACAGATTTACAATCACCTATTCCTCCATCTCAAACCTTCTTATATTTTAAGCATGCCTCCACTCTGCCTGATGGCCCTATGAGTTAGAGACCTCAGAGCCAAACCACAGCTCTCATTGGACAACTGTACACAGACTGCAGCTCCAGGAAGACATCCTCTTTGACCAAAAGAAAAAGGTCCCATGTTTGTCAACCTGTCTGGCACCTACTGTTAGCAGGCAGAAGCGATGCTGGGGACCCCAGGCAGAGCAAGGTGGTTTGCTGGACTGTGGGACAATCAGAATCAGACCATCAGAACCTTCTCTTCCTGCAGAGAAATAAGGCAGAAACCAGTGCCTGCATCTCGAGGGGCTGTTTGGATGAATGTGGAGAAAACAAGGCTGTCTGCACACTGTTCACCACTTCTAATCCTTTCAACCATGAATCCGACACTTTCTCTCTGCTCACCTTCTGGGCCCCATATTCTTCTTGGGCTACACTCAGCTTCCTCATTCCTTGTTTCTGTATTCCTTTCTGTTTGCTCACTGCATTAACTCTACAAAAATAAAGAAATAAATAATATAAATAAATGCAATTTTAATTTAACCCCAAGAACAAAATTTTTTTCTGGATAAAACTAATTTCCCGCATTCCAGTGTTCCCACAGAATCTGGGAGATTATAAAGGCCTAGGCTATAACTTATAGGCCCAGAAAATTAAACTATAAATAATGTTAATACCTACTTGGTTTGGGAATGAAATTGCTGTTGTAACCGGATTTTTTGCAGCCACACCAATGCCACTGCCTTGCATCCCTTCCGATCTTTTTTAGATAAATGGGGTCATACCATGCATATTTATTCTAGATTTTCATTTCTCATCTAAAAATATAGCTTGACGTCCTTCTATGTCAGTACAGAAAGACATTTCTGATTTTTTTCCAATGGGTCACAGCATTTTGTAGTATGGATAAACCATAATTTCATAATCGTCATTAGGCAATTTCATTGTGTGAACATCATAGAGTGCACTTCCACAGACCTAGATGGTATAGCCTATTACACACCTAGGCTGTATGGTACAGCCTATTGCTCCTAGACTATACATCTGTACAGCATGTTACTATAGAAAACAACACGAGATTAAACCAAGCACAAGAGAAAATGAAGCAATCAAGAGATGCAGTAAACACGAGATGTACGAGGTTGCTGCCAGCATAACACAGCACAGTGCTTTACAACAAACTTTTTTTTTAATCAGTAGAAAAAGTACACTCAGAAATAACAATAAAAAGTATAGTACAGTAAATACATAAAGCAGGAACATAGTTGTTTATTATCATTATCAAGTACTATGTACTCTACAGACGTGTATGTGCTATACTTCTATACGACTGGCAGTGCAGTACCTCTGTTTGCACCAGTGTCACCACAAACACAAGTGATGTGTTGCACTATGACATTACAACAGCTACGATGTCACTAGGTGATAGGAATTTTTCAGCTCCATCAGAATTTTATGGGACCACCATTGTATATGTGGTCCTTTGTTGACTGAAATGTTATCTGGCACATGACTGTAATTATTATTACAATTATTAAATTATAGGGGCTCCTTATATTCTCTGGAAATGGAAGATATATGTGTTACAAATATCTTCTTCCACTCTATGGTTTGTTTTTTCACTTTCTTAGCAAAATCTTTTGATGAACAAATGTTTCTTTAATTTTCTATTCTGTTTTTTTTTTTAAAGATTTTTTTTTTAAATGGGGAATTGGGGGGATGGGAAAAGACAAGTTGCTGTCATTTTGTTCTTCAGTCTAGTTGTGGAGGACGTTGCTTCACTGGCCCAAGTTGGCACCATCATTGCGCTCTTGTTCAGCATCTTAGCTGTAGAGGGCAGTGTCACTGGCCCTCATATGTGGGATCCGAATCAGGGCCCTCTGGCGTCCCAAGCCAGTTCCTAACCATCGCGCCACTCAGCCGGCCCACTATTTTGTTTTTTAATAGTGATTTTTAAACAGTGGCCTGTTTAAAGAATCTTTCCGGGCCGGCCGAGTGGCGCGATGGTTAAGAACTCGCTTGGGATGCCAGAGGGCCCCGGTTCGGATCCCGCATATGAGGGCCAGTGAACACTGCCCTCCACAGCTAAGATGCTGAACAACAGCTCAACCTGGAGCTGGGCTGCCGTGAGTCGCTGGCGACGGCG